AGATAGGGAGAGGAAGTGTCGGGTTTGAAGAGAATTTACTCATTAGTGGGAGGTTCTTGCAGAAGATACATATCGTCTGGAACTTTCTATAGACCAGATAAAGAAAGAAGCAGCTTACTATTCGACGGAGGACCAATCACTCTCTTGCGAGGGCAGCTAAACCGCGGATCGGATCTCTATTGCTAAAAGTCTGTGTGATATTCCAAACACCTCACCTGCCCTAACCGACCCTCTAAGTAACAAAGACCTGGTCCATCCGTACGCTGACAGAACGCCAAGTCTAGGCTTGTGGATCGTGTCTGGACCTTTGCAAATCCTTCTAATTTATTCTCCGGGTCCCGTGGGTCGCCACTGGGATCTGCATCACGCCCCGTACCTGCGTCTGTCTAAAGTCGCGCATGGAGTTTGATTGGTCCGTTGGGTGCTATTTATATATAGGGTCTCATTAGTGTGATAGTAGCGTTGCATTCTTGCGAGGGGGTGGGGATCACGAGGAACTAGATCAGGATCATGAATCGTGGTATCTGAAATGACTTACTTGTTGTCTTGGAAACTAGGCTCGGGTTGGTCTAGACTTTTTATTCTCCGTCAAAGAAAAACAACCAATACCCTGGATTTGGGACTATGTTCATAGTGTCTGTACCGACAGGTAGCAGAAGTATTCGTTAAGGCAACATTAGTTGGTTGCGAGCAATATAGAGAAGTACCGTTCGAGTGGCGCGAGGCTAGAGATAGGTAAAGAGGATTATAGTAGGATTAATAGGAAGTACGTCTTATAGCTAACCGTACGTATAGCTTAGCGTTTCTGTCGGCTATAAAGTCTTTAACCTATTAGTTCGGTATCTACTAAAGCACTCTAACCCTTATAAAAGAGACGATGACCGTGGTTAGAACGGGCAGATATAGAGTGCTACCGCGTTAAGTGTTACGAGCCAAGTCTTGATGAAAAAGAGTGCATTCAATTAGAATACTAAACATGGGGAAAGAAAGAAAGAAAGAAAAAGAAAGAAACAACACGCTGAAACAATTAAGGTAGTGATGCCTGAGGCATCTAATCAAACAATGTAAAATGACAACGAAAAGGGGTCAAGGACGGTATATTGTAATTGTGCGGAAAAACAAGAATAAATACAAAGAGTGGATATAGATACACGTGACACTTCCCCTCAGCTCGTAGTCTCTTAATATGCGTGCTTACCTATATAGTCTCATAGTTTCCTGTTATGGCGCATCGCTATTTAAGATACTAGGAGCTGACGAATGCCCTCTAGAAGGCTAGCCGTAGTGGCCCTTCTGCCTGATCTAGTCTAACTATATGTGCATGTGCATGCCCTTGAAGACTGTGTTCTTCGAGACCCTTGAATCCTGGTAGATCTTTTTGAATATCTGCGAGGACTGTCTCGTCACATAGCTTGGTTCTGATACTCTCGATGACTTGCTGCTGTAGCTGAAAGTTTGGTGGTCGTATGGATTGATTGAGGTAGAAACACCGGTGGTAAGGATGAAGTTTTCCACATACATATCGGTGTGCTTGTTTAGCTTCTAGGTGGTGTGCTAGTTTAGCTTCTAGATGGCCCTGCCACGTAGAGAAAGAGCCTTTTAAAGAAGGTATTAGCGTCCGCTCTATTGCTTAGAACTCGCGTTGCCCTTGAAAGATACGGATAAATCGTGGTACTTCGATGCTCCGCGACTTATTAAAGACTTCGTGATACCAAATGTCACAAAATCCTAGCGCGATATGCTTAAGTGTATAAAGGATATCGAATATCACACTATCTTGATATTGGATCTCTAGTACGCCTACTACAATACCTTCGATATATTACTAGTGAACCTGATTAAGCCACTACTCTTTACTATCGTGTGTAACGCCTATACGTATAAGGTCTTGCCATTGCCTACGAAGTATCTGGATATGTGTGCGATCGGAAGCTTAGAATAACTCGTAAAGTATGCGGAGTTGTTGATATGGCGAAAACTGGCCGAGAAGAAGAGTCTTATACTTTGGATCTATCGTTTGTCCGATTATTCCTAGTATATGCTGTCGGGCCCTGCTTTGCTGATCGTACTCTGCTTTCTCGAGCTGGTAAATTGATAACATATCTCGGTAGCGACCGATCTCTTTATCGGTAAGATCGCTAGTCGATTGCGCGTCTTACCTTATCCCTAAGGGTATAGGCTTTTAAGGTGGTGAAGGCTTCTCGGGCTCGGCTAGCTCTGGGTTGACCTGCTGCCAAATTTGTGCCTCGAGGGCTATCGCCTTGATATACGATAGCCATGGCTTCCATTGTTCGGGGGAGGTAGGCCTTCCTACGGCGACCGCCTCCTTTATCGTTAAAACAGGGGGGTGTGACTGCGAATCGGGCTCATAACTAACAACGAAAAGGGGTCAAGGACGGTGTATTGTAAATGTGCGGAAAAACAAGAATAAATACAAAGAGTGGATATAGATACACGTGACATAAAACACGAACTACGAAAGGCGGTGGAACACGGCAGAATCGGTTCAGGATCGATTTCTTCGTGACATTAAGCGAGTTAATTATAAATTTAATGATATATAGGAAACATAATTTTATGGCGTTACTGTCTTTTTGATAGTTAGTAAAGTAGTTCACTATACTTGACGCATAAGTTTAAGAGAAATAAAACTTGGTCGAAACTTAAGTCTATAGGCTATAAAGTCTCTAAACACTATTTTAAACGTCGTTTGACTCGCTTTAACGCCTATTAAAAAGACGGTAATTCTCGCTACTAACTACGTAACTAGTTCCTTAGTCAAGACGTAGCCGAAAAAATATAAAAGGAGCCAGATTCCTAGCCTAGAAAACCAGGACTTCGATCCTCACACTTTAACACATTATCGTGTCCCACTTTTTCCTGCGGGCTTAATAGCTTCTATAGCTACGGCTCTCGCTGCCACGAGCCCAGCGATATAAGAATTACGGTCCCTCGCTGCCTTAAGCCCCGCGAGTGTTAAAATGTGCTTCGCAGGACGAGCTCTGCGTCAACCGATGTGCTTCGTAGGATTTTGCTGCGTTAACAAGGCCTCTAGCGATATGCAGGCACCTCTTCGCGGTGTTAGGGACCAGTATTCGAGTGTTCAAGAGTAATCAAAGATGCAAAGATCTGCGCAATATCTTGATAATGTATTTCGTAGTCCAAGGATCATCATTAGTGAAATAGATTGAGCCCTAGATAGATACAAACCAATCATCAAAATCGTAAATTCAAGATTCAACCTTCGTCATCGAGCGCCATGTTCCCAACCCTCCTGTCCTCATGGTTTGCGGTCGGCTAGTCTTCCCGCCGCAATAGAATGCATCTGCTGTCAGGGCTTAGAGCGAACAAAATGGTGAGTATTTTGGTGCGTCGCGGATGTGTTGACGAGCGTTGAAGAGCGTTGAAGAGCGTTGACGAGCGTTGATGAGCGTTGATGAACGTTAATGAACGTTGACGAGGATATGTGTTGATGAACGTTGATGAACGTCGATCGTAGTTGATGAACGTTGACGAGACAATTGATGTGTGTTGATGTGTGTTGTGGTATACGGCCGGGCAGTGAAAGTGAGTGGCGGTCAATGTCTCACGGCCTTAGCGCGAGCCCTTTGTTGCCATCTCACCCACTTAACAGAGATAGTAGTTTCATTGTTTCAGTTCGCGTCATTTCTTGTCCCCAGCTGATCATTTAGTTAAGTCCGCTCCATTTCGATTGAGATGGTTGAATACAAACACCGGATTTCCCTCGGTTCAGCTATAATCAGGCAATACGCTCAAGATCAGGGCCGGATGATGTGCGGGTGCTCAACCCGCCAACACGTTTAAGCTTGGCCACACGTTGACTCATTTTTTGGGAATTGTGACCGACCATCAAGGTACATTGGGCTCAGTGTTTAAGTTTTGTTTGTTTTAGGATTTCTTTTTAATGGCTGTGGATTCTACAATGTTCCATTTGTCAGATTTGTGAGGCTTTCAACGACACTGGAAGAGGTGTCTGATTGAAATATATACCTCCTCAATGAGAATAACTTCCACGTTTCGCCCTATGCACCCATGATTAAGAGCAGGTCTCCGCATTATAGCCACTCGTGTTCATAACAAATAGCTGACAATACTCGATAGACTTATCAAGTGTAATAATATTATCTATGTACTATTTCTGTTTATAGACAAAAACTAAGTTGGTTAGTAAATATTAGAGACAGTGTGATTAATTCTAAGTCTAGATCTAGATCGTAAAAAAGTTAGATTACTATCACTTTAACTTAGTGATCAACGTGGATCTCGAGATGAACCTAAAAATAAAGCTACAACCTAATTGTTGTAGCGAATAGAATAGACAGTAGGACGTGGTATCCGATACCTCATTATTCATTGTTTTGGATATAATCCACGGAAAACTTTCCCAAGGTCACATTCCGATCGCGGTTCACCAGTGATATCCCCACGAGGTGTCTCCAAAAGCAGTCCCCAATCCTCCGACTGGTTTGGGCGACAAGCGGAAGCCTATCCTCACTAGGATGGGCTGACCATGGTTCGCGTTAACACGTTGAACACGTGTGCAAGAAACCCCGAATTTAAACATTCTGGGGCCATGGGACAAAGGGTACAGATAATCCGGCTTGCTACAATTAGTATGCCGCCAACGGCAAACCATTAATATACTGACACAACTCCCAGATTTCCTCAACATAGACGGCTAAGATTCGCACAGTACGTGATCGCATCCCTTTACAGTTCAGCCCATCCAGTCAGAGGTGAGACCGGCTGTCTGTTGAGGTTCCCGGAACTCAACATAATAGTTGCACTGGGAATGAAGTGTGGTTGTTTGCAACATATATTAACACCAAGCTTTAATTATGAGCAATAAACCCATGGGTATACGAAATCATTCGGTGTTGACATCAGTCTGTCGTCACGGAAACTGTGTACGCAGCATATAAGCCTTCATATGTACCTAGGGTTTAGGATTCTGTTTGCTATACTATGAAGTGTACAAAATGTCGGAAATTTTTCAAGACGCACCTCACGAAGAGCCTCCAAATTATCAAACTTTCGAGAGAGCAACAGTTGGCATTCGAAAAAAGCTCTTATCACAAAAGCGTAGCCAAATCGCTCAATACCAAATCGTCAATATATCATTTAACGCGCTCGCAATTGCGCAGATCGCTATAGGGGCCGCTATCACTGCGCTCGGCCCTTTAGGCGGTCAGCATATGCTGGCAATTACGATTCTCGGGGCTTTCAATACATCCATCGCTGGGCTGCTGGCGCTACTTAAAGGAAGAGGACTTCCACAGCGACTGAGGAGAAATCTGGCTGAAGTAACAAAAGTGCTAGATCGCATTGAAGAGGCGACAGTATTATTACGATACGGCAGCAGAAGATTTTCGAAGAAAGAGATTGATGCCTTAATCCAAGATGTTATGAAACGATACGCTACTGCAAATGATATTATTGAAACGAACCAGCCAGATACATATGCGAACGGTGAATTCTCCCAACCTCATACGAGCGTCACCGCGGTGGAAAGTTCTCCAAGTCAGCGCACCCACAGTATTGTTATAAATGGGAAACAGCGTGCAAGAGATGAAGAAATGGGAACGAATGAAAGTCTATAGTATGACTGAAAGGCAAAACCCAGAGGGATCTAACATGTTCTAGCTGATACCACCTAATATTACCCCGTTATTTGATCAGTCGATATCCCCCGAGAGGATCAAGGGGCCAGTACATGCAGCATTGCAACTTTCATCAACTGGAAAATGTCCTATTTTCTTATCCAGTAAATTGACTTCTAAAGATACCCTTGCGATATAACTACGTAGATGACTTTCAATGGAAACAGCACAAATCTGTTCTTTAGTCAGCCTGAAATTCTGTAGGCCGTTGGCCGACATTTCCTTAGAATTAGCTGAAGTGAAATTAGATATTGATACTTGGATATGAGCCTCTGGCGCCCAAATTATGGCTTATTGATTGGCATTAAATATACTGATTAAACAGCATGCTATCAAGTATTGGAGGATACTACACTTCTATCAAAATCCAGCAGTTGAGGAACGAGCACGACATCCTAGCCCACTTCAAAAGACGATTACAACTCATGCCTGCTATCATCAAACGGATGACCGACCTGGCTCCAAGCTTCCCTGATTTTTGCTTCATGCTCTCCAGCATAAAGAACAGTGAGGTCGGCAAACTCCTTGAATGTAGCGTTTCCGCTGAGCTTACCACTGTTCAGAGCCTTGTACCAAATAGGGCCAGCAGTTTGCCAAGAATATCCTCCAATCCTCGTGGACGCCAAGTAAAAAGCATAATTCGGGATACCGGAATTGATATGAACTCCACCACGATCACTTGTGAGTGGAAGTCTTTTAAAATCTTTCCAATGAGCGGGTTGGGGATCCGATCCGACCCTTTCGTCATCGTAAGCCGTTCCAGGTGCCTTCATGTCTCTTAAAGCTCTACCTTTGATTCCATTAGCCCAGATTCCTTCGCCGATAAGCCAATTGGATTGATCCGCAGTCTGTGGGTTCTCTGGATCCTCACCCCACTGCTTGATCATGATCCCAAAGACGTCTGCGAGGGACTCGTTCAAGGCACCGCTTTGAAAACTATAATCTAGCGGGCTCGAGTACTGCACTACCCCGTGGGTAAGCTCGTGGCCGATAACATCGAGCTCATCCGTGAAACCATTGAAAACAAGGCCGTCTCCATCACCGAAAACCATTTCGCTGCCATCCCAAAAGGCATTCAGATAACCTTTACCGAAATGCACAAAGCCGTCCAGCTTGAGGCCTCGACCGTTGATGGAGTCCCGATTGAAGAATTGGAAGTAAAAGTCATAAGTCTTTCCAAATCCGGCGTAGCATTCATTAGCGTCAGTGCTTGGGTCTTGCTCCTTGGAGATAAGGGCACCGTGTTCCTTGATCATGATGTCGTCGCGAGGAAGATCTTCAGTGGAGTTTTGCGCATTGTACACCGTACGGTTCAGATGGCGCACAGTTCCTGCGGCTAAAGGATTTTCAGTATCATGCGTAAATGTACGTAGAAATGAATCACGTTGATCTTCTGTTACAGCGTGCTGAGCAATTCTTTCGTGGATATAAGGCGGAATGATACCTTCAGAAGGCTGTTGTCCCTGACTGGCGAGGAGACTCTGGCCTCGCGCGATGCGAATATTGTGCAATTCCTTTGTTTTGTCAATGGTAGACTGGCAGGCATTGATGACATGCTCTGGTGCTTGTCCCCTTTCAACAATCTTCTCGAGTACATGTTCTGGTACAATGCAACAGATAGGAGCCATGTTGGTATTCCGAATAGTATGTCTTGGCAGTGTAGAAGCAGCAAGCCTTTGAATCAATGAACCTAGGAACCTTGTTTTTTGAGCAAGGCTACCTCCGAATAAATAGGTTCTTGCAGGCATGATGTAAGAAAATGATTTGGTCTCTTTCCTGCCATTCATAACGCCATGACTGCCACGGCGGGAAAAGGCCCTATTTCAAAAAATAGATCTTGGCGTTCGTCATTTAGATTTCTATCGTATCCGTATATCCATGGATGGAACCCGGCGAGACGCCAATCTCCAACTCTGGTTTGGTAACCCATAATCTGATCCTCTCTCTGTTGACTATTAAGTTTATGATCCAAAAAATAGGTTCTGAGAACAGTCACCCGCAAATATGAAATTGTTTCTCTCTCAGGGCGAAAATAATTCAACGAAATTCTGACATAAAAGACTAGATTCGCCTCAATCGTATAGCGAGATAGACATTGGGGAATCTGAATGGTAGGTAAGCTGAATTTTAACTGTCACAAAATTAACACATCACCAATTTCTTCAGCTAGTCAATACAAGATGGCCTATTGGACCAAAGGATGGCATGAGATGTGCCACCACCTGTCACTATATTCAACTACCTGTTGATCGACTTCTGTTGGATTTTCTTGGGGAGAACCTCTGGTCCAGACCGGGCCGTTATATCGCCGTTTGCGGTGTGTTTGTTGGCGTGCACATGATCGCAACTTGAGAAAAGTCTACTATTATAGTTCGAAATGCATTCTTTCGACGAATCCTTGGTGTCACTCATCTCCAAGACTTTTCATATTCAACAACATGCACTACAAAAGCAGACCGACGATCCTCTTAGCTGCTGACCTTTTCACGTATACCAATCAATAGAGTGCTTAGTAGAGTAAAATTATACATCAAGAGTCCATGTTAACGGATTAACCCACCATGCACTGTAGACCTGCATTTCCATACTCATTTTCTTGCAAGAGAATTTCATCTATTCTACGATATATCGACGAGATTAGAGATTGCAATATGCCACCCTCTGGGTCTTGATGTTTGCCCTGTACTTGTCCGGCCCAGCAACGTCTGTGGGGCATGGGAGGAAGTCGTCGCATTCAATCCAGTCGAGTTGCCTCTCGCTCAAAGACCACTCGCTTCCGATGCGGGTTATTTTTGGCACCCTTTTTTTGGGGATTTGCCGGGCCGTCCTGCTGGGAGCGTAATACGAGGGATAGAAATGAAGTCTGATATCAGGATAATCAGTTTTTGCTGAGGAGGCAATAACCTAGAATGATAAGATGATCTACAATGACTCTGCTTCTGTCTCCCACAGTGTAATCAACCCGAACAGGCAAGGGGAATTTTTGATTTGATTCCTTGATCAAGTACACCAATTCTATCAAGGTCATGACCAAAGTGAGCTCTAAAAAGGCCATTGAAGGTTATCAAACGCCATTTAGGCCATGATGATACATCAAGTCTAGAACATCAAATGCAACCAATCAACGGGAGTGCTGTTTCACAACAACTAGGTCCACCACAGAATAAGAATTAAAAAAGCAACCCCTTTGTATCATTTCTCTCCTTCATCCGGACATCTTTGATCAGTAGCACCCACACGACTGTCACTGCCATGATTGAAATACCTGCTATGAGCATGTCCCGTTGGGCAATGGCATATGCGTGCTCAATAGCAATACGAGTTGTCGATCCGATCTCGAAGCTCAGCTGCACTGGTAGTGACTCATAGATCTCATTCCACCGTGGCTTTGTCTCGGCTGGCAAAAATTCCTGGAGCTTGTTGGGTAGTGTGTTTGTCCATATGGCGCCAGAGATACTATTGCCAATAGCACCACCAATACTTCCGCTTAGACCAAGCAGTGCTAGTGTTGATGCATAATTGTCATGTTCGGATGCTGCTAGGACTGCTGTCTGTTCAAGGGCAATGATGGTACCAGTACCGAATCCTAGGAACACCTCACACATACACATGTAACCGATACTATGGCCGGGTGTCCGGAAATAGAGCATTAAACCTATTGCAAGCATGTAGACCGGGATTGCACATAGGAGTAGCCACTTGAAGCGCCCTGTAATATGAACAAGCCACCCAACTCCAATCAACCAGAGAGGAGAAATCAGGTTTGCAATCGCTGTTATATAACCTGCTTGCATGAGAGTCGTATTATACACAACCTGTAGGAAGGATGTGAAGTATGTGCCCCAGCAACTTGCAGCAATGATGTAGGTAAAGTTCAAAAGGCAAGTACCAATAATTGTTCGTGAAACAAGGAGGTGGTAAGGGATGAACGGCCTTGTAGCAAAGAATCTTTCATAAGCCACGAATGCTCCAATAGTAACGCCGCCTATCACAATCATGCATATTATGTTCGTGGAGTGCCATTTGCCTTCCTGAGAACCTGCCAGGACGAATGCCAATAGAAAGAGGGATAGGCCAGCAGTGAGGAGTAAAATGCCAACCATATCAAATTCAATAATAAGATGCTGGATACGCTGAGTCCAGGACCTTTGGTCAGTCGCACGGTCCGGAAATTTGCCCTGCTGGGCTTTTTTCCGGGCGACTGACCAGATAATAACCAGCGGCATTGTCACAGTCGGTAAAAGGATTGCAATTGTGCCATACGCCCAGCGCCAGTTCGAATTGTTGAAGGACTCTGAAAGTGGTGCACCTGCGAATGCCATGATTATATACGGCGATGAGGTAAAGGCAAATGCAAGAGCTCGGTCCTGCACTTTAGATGTGTCCGCCGTCAACACGTCCACGCAGAAGATTAGGCCCGTAAAGCCTACTGTCACAAATGCCTTTGAATATCATTAGTACTGGGCATTGGAAAATCGGCGATGTAATAAAATACCTGTGCCACGCAATAGGTCACAATGTTATGGCAGCATGCCATCAGAATGAGGCCAACGAGCGCGATAAACAGCATCGAGGTCAATGCAACCACGCGATCCCAAATGTTTAACATCTTGGCGATCGGCATTGTACACGCAGCACTCACAACACTCGTAACAATCTCGATCACCGTCAATAGAGAGTGGCCTTGGAAATCACTAGTAATGTATGGGGACAAATTTGCCGTTAAGCTTCCATTCAAAGCGCGTACAAAATATATCAACCACATGCTTTTGCCACCGAGATGTTAGATGTATTGTGTGGATATATAGTTTTTGTTTACTGACCAGACATAAACCAGGATCAATGATCTTTTGGACCATGACATAGTCACCGCTTCTGCCATCTCCACGCCATGCTGGACCGTTTTATTTGCCTCTTGAGACTCCACAGTCGGAGGGGCCTCGCTGACTGAGGTGACCGCTTGACCGAATACGGTCTTTTCAAGCATCTCGACAAAAGGCAAGGGTGGCCAGAATGAAGGAAAAGAAATGAAAGATTCCTCTGTAATGATCCTACTCAGGAGGGAAGGCGCACTGATAAATAGTGCCTCAAGATGAGATTAGATTGGATTAATCAATCAAACCATCCCATCATTACTTGATGGAATAGCACTGGGGTTACATTGTGTCCCAAAATGGCTTAGTCGCTGCTGCAATCCGAGCTTCGGAGTTACACGGGCCTTTTGCGTTAATCTAATCTGATTGGAATTCCGTATCGCCTCGTACTGATGTAATAAAACCCTACAAGGCGATCCCTCAGGGCTTTGCATTGTAAAAGGTCTATTTTAATTGCGCCTGGAATGGTGTGCTATCCGCCATATAGTTTGTTTAATGGTAACAAAGTCAGACAGCTCGCTGAAATGTAGCACTGTCGAGGTTCAATTTCTCTTCTTTGCCATACAGATGGGATGGGGGCTAATTGAAATACCACTTCAATTCTTGGCAAACTAAAATATTGAAAATTTCAAAAAGGAAGCCTAGACGAACTCACCAATTTTCCTGCTGCCGTCGTTGGCTATCGACAGGATTTGTGGCGTTCGTAGCATGGGTCTTAGTCGCCTTCGGCCGACGATGCACCAAAGACGAGGCAGTCTGAACTCCCACCTGGCTGATGGGAACGTGGGTGCATAGGCCTCGCATAAGTTGGATTCTTTGATGGGTTGATACTGGCCTCTAATCCTACGGAGTATTCAAATAATTTTCAGACGGATCGGACGAAGTAAGAGTTCCGGGCTCGGGAGACTTTTTGCCAAGCCTTTGACGACCAGGCAGTTCTTGAAATCCATTCGAAATGCCAACTACAGTGATCAATCACAGGCGATCGTCTTAGACCTCGGACGAATTCTTGATACAATACTTGAGGTAATTCTGTCAGGCTATACCCATCCCACTGGGCACCACTGGGCAGATCTTCAGGTTCCATCTTTTGACCGTAGACTGTACTGCGGTTCAGGCGCCTGTTCCTGAGACATTCGTGACATATACGATTCACGTGATACGGAGCTAATGCACGATTCTGACTTTGATTTCTGTCAGAATCAAACATGAATCGCTGGAATTAGGGATATAGAAATGCAGAGTTATTGATATTGACCTGAAGCATCAACATAGGCTTGAAGCCCTAATTTCTGTCAGATACCAACATTGTTTTTGATGAGATTGGAAGCTATTTTCCTTTATCGACCAACCGATGGGCATTGTTCTTCGTAGGAAAATTTAATAAAGAGGTTGGTCCCGAAATATAACCTCATTGTTGTGATATGAGGCTGTTGCAGATCAAGAAGCTTCCAGTTCTTTCTGTGTGGAAGAAATACATGATGCAAGTAGATGCCTTCACTGTGTATATATATAGCCTCGGGCCTCCCTCTGAGAAACCAATCAATTAATACCTCTGAATTACAATAGATTCAACTAAATCCCTGTGAGGAAGTGATAGGCAGACCTGTTGACCCACTTGGGCCTTGAAATCGTTAGCCTCATCGATTTTCACAGCTCAGATATCCCCCCTACGTATCGCGCAGGCTTCATTGATACAGACGATGGATGGATGATTTCATTTACCCCATCCCCTCGCCGAAGTTGAAACACTGGATTGAGGTACAAGTGTGATGATTAATCTATATGGAGAGATCCAGCTATTTGTAGTTGCAGCAGCTCATCTCCCTGCTAACAGGCAGACACTCCTATAGATCTATATACATCACGTGACCTGGTAACAAACTTAATTGCGAGGGGTGAGGGTAAATGAAATTCATCCATCCATCCACCCATCCATCCTGTAGTAAGCGCGCGTCATAATATACTTTATCCCTAGTACCTTAGAATTTTGAGCGAGTAAGCCTCCACGCTGCAGCTTTTCGTACTTATCGAGGAGACGTGTCTCGGCTTCAGAGCATGGCTGAGAGGATATTGTCGGTGAATTGCTAACGTGGATCCCGGCGGGTTCGTCATCCCTGCCGGTCCGTCATCCCACTTCAAATCTTCCGCCCATACCTAGCCACCTATCTTTAAACGCCTACCATGCCCCCCAAACGGAGTCAAAAAGCTCAAAAATCAATCGAGCAGGAAGGCAGGATCTTATTAGCTATCAAAGCTATTCAGAATGGCAGAATCACCACGATCGCTGCTGCTGCTCGCTCTTTCGATGTCCCCCGCACAACTCTTGCAGATCGGATGAAAGGCATTTCTAATTTGTATGAAGCAAGGGGTACAGGCCATAAATTCACGCAACTAGAAGAGGAATCAATTCAGGATTGGTTAATCTCTATGGATCAGAGAGGCGCCGCGCTTACAATCGCGATGTTAAGAGATATGGCTAATTTACTGCTTAAACACCGCGGAGATAATGCCCCCCAGACCGTTGGCAAAAATTAGCCAACACAATATATCAAACGACATCCTGAGCTTACTACTCGATTCTCTCGCAAATATGACTACAAACGTGCCCTAATGGAAGACCCAAATACTATTATTGAGTGGTTCAATCTTGTCGAAAAAACGATTACTTAATATGGTATCACTTCGGATGATATCTATAACTTTGACGAGTCAGGGTTTGCGATGGGAGTTAGTGCGACGACGAAGGTTATTACCCAGTCATTTTACACCGGTCGGAGGGGCGTTTTACAAGCTGGTAATCGTGAATAGGTGACTGTTATTGAATCAATCTGTGCCTCCGGACGAGCGCTCCTACCATACGTTATCTTTAAAGGCAAAAACTTCATGGAACGATGGTTTAACGACCTTCCAAAGCATTGGGCTCTTAATGTTAGTCCAAATGGTTGGACAAGTAACGAAATTGGCGTTGATTGGCTCCGCAAACACTTTATTCCGCATACAATAAGTCAGACAAAAGGGAAATATCGTCTTTTGGTCCTCGATGGCCACGATAGTCATCTTACAGCAACATTCGATAAGATTTGCTAGGAAAACAGCATCATACCAATCTGTATGCCTCCGCATGCCTCTCATCTTTTACAGCCTCTTGATGTTGGTTGTTTTGCTGTGTTAAAGCGCTCTTATAGAACTCGGGTTACGGAATATACCCGGTTGGGTATCGATTCTATCGAAAAAGACGACTTCCTTGATATCTTTCCAGCGGCTCGTAACGACTCATTTAAGGAGTTAATCATTCAGAATGCCCTCGCAGCTACTGGTTTAGTGCTATTAGACCCTGATCGGGTGTTATCAAAGCTAAATATTCGTCTTCAATCTCCGCCTCTACCAGATCGACCAGTTTCATAAGGTTTAACATCAGGCAGTAATATCTCTACCGGTATCCCTCGGATAACTAAGTAGCTAGAAAAACGCAAATCTAGGCTCAATTCTAGTCTAAGTTTAGCTGCTAATAAGATCTCTTCGCCTACAAAACGTGATCTTTAACAGTTCTATAATATGTCGGTTAAGCTGGTTCACGAGCATATCTTAATACGAGATGAGATTAAGCGTTTACGGGAGGGAAATAGAAATCAAACGAAAAAGAGGGAGAGATCAAAGAAGCAGATACCTAATATGGGTAGTTTAATAGAGCTTCCGGTCCCTACTACCAATGTGGGTGGTGAGGAAGGTGTTAGTGTGAGATATATATCTAACCCTACACCTGCTCCAGAACCCTAGGTTGAACCTACACTTCCTGTTTTGGCCCCTATACGCCAGTAAACTACATGTTCATTATGTATGGGGAAAGGGCATAGGTATACTATATGCCCGAAAAGGTTTAATTAGTCAATTTTATGGTGTTTTGGTTGTTTAATTGGAGTTTAAAAAGTGTAGAAAATATGAAGTTTTGGTGGGGTGACGGACCGGCAGGGATGACGAACCCGCCGGGATCCACGTTAACGTGGATCCCTGTTACTCCGGCCACCCGGTTACTCCGGCCACCCGCAAAATAAAATGGATCCTATAGCAACGTATGTTTTTGAACATCAACAATGCCCCCAATTCGATCTTAAAAAGCTCAAAAATTGGTTGAACAGGAGGGCCGCCTTCTGTTAGCTATGAAAGCTATAGAAAATGGGAAATACACCTCTATTAGAGCTGCTGCCGAAGCTTTTACTATGCCGCGATCAACGTTACAAGATCGGATGAAGGGCTATGAAAGTCAGGTTATACGCCGCCATCATCGCCATAAATTCTCTGAACCTGAAGAGAAATCGATGGAAGAATGGCTGCTCTCTATAGACTCTAGAGGGTTTGCCCTCACATATACTATATGTCGGGATATGGCTAATTTACTACTTCGTGCCCGTGAATTAACACCCTCCGAGACCCCTCCGAAAGTTAGTAAAAATTGGGTTACAGACTTTATCAAACGCCATGATTCTCTTACCTCCTATCTCTCTCGTCGATATGACTATAAGAGAGCTCTATCTAAAGACCCTAAACTTATAAAAGGGTGGTTTGATCTCGTCCAAAATACTATCTAAAAATATGGTATCATTCCGGCTGATATCTGGAACTTTGATAAGACGGGATTCGCGATAGGTGTTACCTCTTTATAATATATCATATGTTCTACGGAATACTATGGTAAACGAAAGGTTCTATAAGCAGGAAATCGTGAATAGGTTACTGTGGTTGAGACTATTAACGCTGAAGGTGGTATTCTCCCGCCGTACTTAATCTTTAAGGGCAAGGTCTTTTTAGAACGCTGGTTCCCTTTACCTCTAAATTGGGCTATCAATCTTAGTCCAAATGGTTGGACTAGTGACCAGATTGGTCTCGATTGGCTACAGAAGCACTTTATACCTAATTCTACGCGAAAAGGGGCCTATATATTGTTGATTCTTGATGGTCATTCCTCTCATCTTACTCCACAATTTGATAAATTGTGTAAGGAGAATAAGATAATCTGCCTCTGTATGCCTGCCTATACGTCTTATTTACTACAGCCTCTTGATGTAGGCTGTTTTTCTATACTAAAAAAGGTATATAGAGGGTTGATTGGGGA